TCTAAACAGTACACTGTTAATGTTATGCTCAGGAAATATATAAATATATAGTCGCACAATGTTATTGCGCAATTTTAGCACTTGGGCCATTTTTGAGGCAAAATATCTTACTAATTAAACAATGCATCCCTTTAACAGACTGCATACCTGAAATCAGCAAAAAAAGTTGTCCTAGAATGGAAGGGTTTCATGGCTGTCTAGACAGTACATGGATAATATCATGCTCATTTGAAATCAATAATATAGTAAACACAATTTTATTGCACAATCTTGCACTTGGGCAATTTTTGGGGCAAAATATCTTACTAATTAAACAATTTATCCCTTTAACAAACTGCATAACTGCAATCAGCACAAAAAGTTGTCTTGGAATGAAAGGTTTCATGGCTCTAGACCGTTCACAGATAATATTATGCTCATTTGAAATCAATCGCAACACAATTTTATTGCACAATTCTTGCACTTGGGCCATTTTTGGGGCATAATATCTTACTAATTAAACAATTTATCCCTTTAACAGACTGCATAACTGAAATCAACACAAAAAGTTGTCCTAGAATAAAAGGTTTCACGGCTCTAGACAGTACACGGATAATATTATGCTCATTTGAAATCAACAGTAAATACAATTTTATTGCGCAATTCTTGCACTTGGGCCATTTTTGGGGATACATATCTTACTAATTAAACACTATATCCCTTAACGAACTGCATAACTGAAATAAGCACATAAAGTTGTTTTAGAATTATAAGTTTCAAGGGTCTAGGCAGATTATTTTAAATATTATCGTTATTCAAAAATTTATTTTATCACATTTACGCACTGATACTGTCACAAATTGAAAAATATACCCCTTTTCAAATCACTTTTTAAACATGAAAGGATAAAGACACCAAGCTGATATTTGGAACATCTGATCATCATATATAAATTAATTAATGGTGCATGTTTTAACAACAAGCATACTTGCCCACATGGTCAAAGGTCACCATGAAAACGAGGCATTTTTGTGCATTTTTTGTCCCGAATGACCTTTTGACCTACGATTACCCCCTAAAATGAAAAGTAAAAAATCCGGAATTTTTTGTGGTGAAACATTCTCAACTATATATTAATAATTTGGTGCATAAGACCCATTTAATAACTGATTTGGGTATTTTAATGGGGTCTAAAAATGGAAGAAAAATTATGCAACCAAATAAGTTAGGGTCTTTACGAACCAATATTTTCGTAACGGGTCCGGTATACAAAAAGTCATGTCAAATTCCTGTTCTACAGCCAAAAGTTAGTCTAGATATCAATTTTCAGTTAATTATCTTTATTCTATTTGAAGATATGGCTAATTGAAAATGCAACTTTACAAATATGTCATAATTGATAGCTAAAAAGGGGTATGACCCTAAAATTTCAAATTGCCGTAACTTCTAAACAACTTGGAATTGGCAAGTCAAATTTTGGGTTTGTTCGTCAGACATGTTGGTGTACATTATATCCGAGTTTCAAGAAAATCTGAGACGGTACCCAGCCATCCCATTTGTTGAGTTGGCACGGAATGACCCATATATATATATATATATATATATACACATATATATATATATATATACACATGATCTGGTTTAAGCCGACCACGCAGATTATATATATATATATACTGTATATATATATAGATTAAAAGGCAAAATACTGGAAAACAACAATGCTGTGGGAAACAATGGCTGGATCTCAGTAGAGATACAAAAATGATAAGCAACAGCTAAAAAGTAAACGTAAGTAAACAGCCTATTTCAGAGTGCACCTCATATGCTGATGCCTTGGAGATTTTGAAGGGGCTGTATCTTAAGCCAACGAACGAGATATTCGCTAGGCACAGACTTGCCACGCGAAAACAAAACGCTGGCGAGACACTTGATGAGTACCTACAGGCGCTCAAGGTCCTTAGCAAAGATTGTAACTTTAAAGCTGTAACTGCTGAGCAAGTCCGTGATGATTGCATTAGGGACTCGTTTATTAGCGGGCTGTACTCACAAATGATAAGGCAGCGGTTACTTGAAAACAAAACTCTTGATTTGCAAACAATGTTTGACCAAACTAGGTCACTTGAAACAGCTCAGAAGAATTCTGAATCTTACAATTATGGCGAACCTAGGTCCTAATACTAGTCCAACCGTGAGTGCAGCCGTATGTGAGGATACGCTAGGCCCTGAGCCATCTCGGCTGACCAGTGCAAATTTATCCGCAAAGTGCTATTTTTGTGGCTACAATAAGCACCCGCGTTCAAATTGCCCAGCACGAGAAGAGAGTTGTAGGAAATGCGGAAAAGTTGGTGACTTCGCTAGGATGTGTCGATCTTCATCAAATACTAACACTCAAAGAAAGTCTACAGTGTCTGCTCTGTTTGACAACAGACCCTACATGGCCTGTCTCTTATACACATCTAGATGTGTATAAGAGACAAGTATGTATGTATGTATGTATGGGTGTATGTATGTGTGTGTGTGTGTGTGGTGTGTGTGTGTTTAAAGATGTTCTACATGCATTTTTCAAGTTATTGTTTTTTTCTGTATAAAAAATAGACTTCTACAGTTACTGTAGTACAGTATTAATTAAAAATAAATCATAAAATGATTTGAGGCAAAATTTAGGTAAATTGTAAACTAAATCATGATAATTTTTGAACAAAAAACCTTAGTGCAGTAAATCATTTCTGAGAATGGAAAGTAAATTAATTTGCTACTACTCAGATGACAAAAATATTTAAAGATTATGAAAATAAGATTACTTTGTACATTATTATATACAGTACAGCAATTCTTACATGTCTAGGATGTAACAGGAATAGTTATTCATAGTATTTTGCATGCTTTTAATATTTTGCTGCAATTAAAAATATACAAATTTACCAGATATTGTTTCTCTGAAATTTGTTTAATATTCTGTCTGTAGTTCTGTCCATAGGACATGCGTGGAAGTATGAACGATGTATCAATTAATTTAATTGGAGCATCGTTTGGAAAAACTAATTGTTCATACCAGAAGAATAGAACCCAACTCATTAGCAAAAACACACTTTTGCTTGCACCAGCATTTTATAAGCATTGTATTCATTTTTTAGGTATTTAGTGTACTCCAAATGGTTCAAACAATGGAAGAAATATGTTGGATATGACAGTTGGGACATGTACAATGTGGGCATGGAAACTGCTTTCCCTGGCCCAGTGGATAACTCTCCGCTTATCTGTTGTAAGTATTTATAAGGGTCCTTCCATGCCAATGACTTAGCCCCACTTTTTCCTGATTACATTGAAATGTTTGAAGATATTTAACTAATGTAGTGAGATGTTTGGCACTCCATACAAGGTAATGTTATGTTTTGAAGGGGCTGTATCTTAAGCCAACGAACGAGATATTCGCTAGGCACAGACTTGCCACGCGAAAACAAAACGCTGGTGAGACACTTGATGAGTACCTACAGGCGCTCAAGGTCCTTAGCAAAGATTGTAACTTTAAAGCTGTAACTGCTGAGCAAGTCCGTGATGATTGCATTAGGGACTCGTTTATTAGCGGGCTGTACTCACAAATGATAAGGCAGCGGTTACTTGAAAACAAAACTCTTGATTTGCAAACAATGTTTGACCAAACTAGGTCACTTGAAACAGCTCAGAAGAATTCTGAATCTTACAATTATGGCGAACCTAGGTCCTAATACTAGTCCAACCGTGAGTGCAGCCGTATGTGAGGATACGCTAGGCCCTGAGCCATCTCGGCTGACCAGTGCAAATTTATCCGCAAAGTGCTATTTTTGTGGCTACAATAAGCACCCGCGTTCAAATTGCCCAGCACGAGAAGAGAGTTGTAGGAAATAAAGAAAAGTTGGTCACTTCGCTAGGATGTGTCGATCTTCATCAAATACTAACACTCAAAGAAAGTCTACAGTGTCTGCTCTGTTTGACAACAGACCCTACATGGCAGCAGCTACATCATCCGCTATGTCGTTGTCGAGGTCAATGACTGAAATTAAAGTAAATGGGAAATCAGCGAACTGTTTAGTTGACAGTGGGAGTACTGATAGCTTTATTCACCCTTCCTTTGTCAAGAAGCTTAAATTAACACTAAAACCAGCACCATTATCAGTTAACATGGCTTCGACTTCATTGTCACAAGAATCTATACAAGGGTGCGAAGTTATGATCAAGTTAAATGGTCATAGGTACAAGGAAGTTAAGCTACATGTTTTGCCGGATCTCTGCACTGACGTCATGTTGGGACTAGATTTTCAAACAAAACATGAATGCGTAATTTTGGAATATGGTGGAATACTACCCCCACTAACACTGTGTGGGTCAACCGAAACTGTAAACTTATCTAATTCTGAACCTGAACAATTTTCAACAATGAAAGTCAAACCTGTAGTACCGTTCGCTAATTGCCATCCGGTCGCAGCAGATTGCCATCCGGTCGCAGCTAAATCGCGACGATACAGCGAAGATGACAAGTGTTTTATATCAGAGCCGAAGTACAGCAGTTGTTAAAAAAAAGTATAATCGAGCCAAGTAATTCGCCATGGAGGGCCCAAGTTGTTGTGACCAAGAATGAGAACCACAAAAAGCGACTGGTTATTGATTATTCGCAAACGATTAATCGTTTTACGCTCCCTGATAGCTATCCTTTGCCCCGCATCGACGATATTGTAAATAGCATATCAAAATACAAGATATTTAGTACATTTGATCTGCGCAGCGCTTATCATCAAATGCCCTTAAGACAGAGCGTATACCGCATTTGAAGCAGATGGTGGCCTCTATCAATATACTAGACTCCCATTCGGGGTTACTAATGGTGTCCCATGTTTTCAGAGGGAGATTGATAACTTTATCAAAGACGAGGGTCTTAAAGCAACCTTTGCGTACCTTGATGATGTTACAGTAGGTGGTATGGACATGGCCGATTTGATAAGTAACCAAACTAAATTCCTTAATGCAGCGCGGAAAAGGAACATAACTTTTAACGAAGATAAAGGTGTTTTTGCTACAAAACGATTGAGCCTCCTGGGATATGTCATTGAAGATGGCAACTTGAGACCAGACCCAGAAAGGCTACGCCCTTTAAAGGAATTTCCTATCCCTATTCGGCGGTGTTTGGGGTTGTTCGCTTATTACGCCCATTGGATCCCAGAGTACTCACAAAAAGTTAAACCATTGTCATCATCTTCTACCTTTCCTTTGGGAGAGGAGGCTGTGAAAGCATTCCACGATCTTAAATCGGACATTGAAAACTCGGTTGTAGCAGCAATTGATGAAAATATTCCTTTTGAAATTGAGACAGATGCGTCAGAAACAGCGATTGCAGCAACATTGAATCAAGCAGGGAGACCAGTCGCATTCTTTTTTCGTCAGTTGACAGGGCCTGAAAGGAATCACCAATTGAGAAGGAAGCTTTGGCAATTATCGAAGCTGTCAGGTATTGGTCCTACTACTTGACTGGTAGATGGTTTACACTGAAAACTGATCAGAAATCAGTTAGCTATATTTTTGATATGCAACATAAAGGCAAGATCAAAAATGAGAAAATGAGGCGCTGGAGGATTGAACTTTCCTGTTTTGCATTTGAGATTGTGTACCGTCCAGGTAAAGAAAATATTCCTCCAGACACATTGACCAGAGCGTGTTGCTCGGCAAGTAATGTAACTGACCGCCTTGTCGAACTTCACAATATGCTATGCCATCCGGGAATTACTAGGATGTGCCATTTTGTGAAAACAAAGAATCTCGCATTCACAGTAGAGGAGGTAAGAAAGATAACAGCTGCTTGTCAAGTTTGTGCTAAATTAAAGCCGCGATTTTATAAGCCTAATAACACACCATTGATCAAAGCCACCCAGCCATTTGAGCGTCTCAATATAGACTTTAAGGGGCCGTTGCCTAGCACGGATAGGAATATTTACTTCTTAACAGTCGTCGACGAGTTTTCAAGATTATATTTCCTTGCTCTGATATGACATCATCTACGGTGATTACCTGTCTCTGTCAGTTGT